CACACACACATGTCGTAAATTATCATAATGTAATGCAGGCTGATGGTATATAAAATATGTACACTTGTGAGAGACGGAGAGACAGAGAAAGGAAAAAAAGAGCAAGCGAGCGAGCGAGAGAGAGAGAGAGAGTGAGAGAGAGAGAGACAGAGAGACAGAGAGAGAGACAGAGAGACAGAGAGAGACACAGAGAGAGACACAGAGATAGACAGATAGAGAGGGAGAGAGAGAGGGGGGGGGACGAGAGAGATAGAGAGATAAATAGATAGACAGAAAGCGAGCGAGAGAGGGAGAGAAAGAGAGAGAGAGAGAGAGAGAGAGAGAGAGAGAGAGAGAGAGAGAGAGAGAGAGAGAGAGAGAGAGAGAGAGAGAGGGAGGGAGCAGCCTGGAGCACTTGCCTGCACGATGTCATCGGAACGGGAAATCAAAGAGATTATAAATAATACCTGTGTCTTAGCTCTTTTGTGTTTATGGTAAGATTCTATAAAACAGCAACCGGATAGAACTAAAGGCTAGATGACATAGGCCAAATAGAGCAGTCAAAATTCGTGGCTCAACTAATCCTCAAATATCTCTTTTACGGGTGAACCAAAGTCACCCATACTTTGCACAGCAGCTTGTATCAATTTGTCTTAACTTAATCATATTTTTCCACAACAATAGAGGCCCGATTAAAAAACTTTTCTTCCTGAATGTATATAAAATACTATAATTCTCCATCACGCGGAAAATGTGATTGTTTCCAGCCCTTCCCGCTTCTCGCACAAACCTAAGTCACAGCTCGCCAATGACACTTTTTAGGGTCAAAACTTCTTACCAAAAATATTTTTATAATGAACACATTTTTCTTGCCCTGAAGGTTCCTTAGACATAAGTTCAATAAGCATACTATTGCGATTAGAAAAAAAATGACAGACTTGCTTTAAAAAACGATAGGCCTATTGTCCGAGCTGTAAACTTTAAAAAATCTGCATAAACCATAAACAGGGATTTTTTAGTTGTGTTTATTAAGGAATTTTCTAGAATACAGTGTGCAGGAGTTAAAAAAATAGTTGCAAAAGTTAGGGAATCTATGTTTGATGGGTAAAGAGATAGTTGCACCATGCATTTTTGACCGCACTATAGACTAATGTATTATTTTTTTCCTTCGTTCTTCGACCGCCCAACCGACTTGAACTGCATCTCCCCCTACCGCCATCCTCCTTCCCTTCCCTCCCCCACCCTCACCACCCCCTTCCCCACCCCTCTCCATCCCTCCACTTTCCTCTCACCTTCTCGTCATATTATAAAGGCTCGAAGGCGGCCAGGTAAACTATGATGTACAGGGTGATCCCAAAAAAACTTTACAACTTTTTTTTCTGAATATCTTGCCCAATATTGTTCTAGAATGCTGTAATTTGAAACAGGCATAATTCATTCAAAAGGAATTTGTATGATATAAAAGTTACGAAAAAGAAACATATTTTGAAAACGGAAACGGTTAAAAGAAATAAGCACCCACAAACGCAAAGTTCACCAAAGTTTCAAAATCCTGTAAAGGAAGTCTTGAAAAGATTAGTTGGCCTTTTTCTTTATTTCTCTTTGACATAAATTTTCCAGCCCTGGGACATTTAAACAATATTTTATTTCTTTTACAGAGTTTTAAAATCTAATGATTTCATTCTGAAATTCCTAGAAGCAGTGCTCCACATTCCCTCCTTTGGCTTCTAGAGACAATAGAGTGGGGTGCCCAATAGACCGCATTTATTTTTGGAGTTAACGTATCCCGCAGGGTGAAAATGAGCTTTGCCAAATGTCATTGAGGAAATGATCCCTCTTTACAAGACAATCAAGGAATCATGAACACATTGCCATGCTCTGATCCACGTCATCTCGGCCTAGCGAAAATGAACATGGTATATCGTAGGTTAAGATCTGCCTTGAGAATGCAGACTGTTGAGGTGTAGAAAAGTCCTAGCTGCAGACAGTCTAGGGACAGACATCTCGTGGGACTCGACTACGGAAATCTGCACACTGGTTTAGGTTTAAAGGGCTGCGCATGGTGCGTGTTCAACCTGAAGTGGTCATTTTTTAAAGAACTTTTTAGTTCTGATTCGCTATAGACCCAAACTAACGGAAATTTTCTACTCATGATGCCAAAGGTCTTGAGGGCACTTAAGCATTTTCTCCATGCCGTGCGCAGAACTTACGAATTGTCAGGGATGATGAGTTTGTGAAGAGGTAATGTTCAATACAAAAAGCTCTCTGCTCTTTACTCATCGTAGCCATGATCTCAGCAGGCAAACAAAATTTGGGAAAAGTAATATCTGCAAACTTTTGTTGACTTGTTAGACTGCTGTAGCTTGCCATATATGGTGCGATTGTTGCAACTTTTAGTGGTAGGCCTAATGCGAACTGGTGCGTCATGCTATGAAAATGGCGACAAGGTTGAAAATGGGTTGGGTTTTTTATGTGCTATATAGAGCAAAACCATTCAATGGACTTATCTAAAATACATGTCAGAAAATTTCCCTTTAGCTTCCAAACGTTGTGTTCAAATATGAGACGCAAAACTTCAGTATGGAGGAAGATATTTACAAAACAAGTTGTAAAGTTTTTATGGATCACCCTGTACTATGGTAAGTCATGTTTTTCAAATTTTACAGGAGAAACAAAATTTGGATTTTCTTGACACGTTTTGGATGGATAAACTTCATTTTCCTAAGGAAGCCCATATGTCTGTCGTGGCATTTGTAGGCTCCCTTATGAAAATGAAGTTTATCCACCCAAAACGCTTCAAGAAAATCCCTTTAAAAAAAAAAAATGTTGTTTTTGTCTCTCCTGTAAAATTTGAAAAACGTAACTTACCATAGTTTACTTTGGCGACCCTTGGATTTATTCTTAGTTTTTCTTAATTACTATATAGGCATACACTCTTTTCCTATTGTTTATTTACAGTGAGAAAGTGGTCGCTGTTTTTCTTTGATTGATTTTCATATATATTGCAACCTGGTGACTAGCAACAGAACTGAGACGAAGGAGATCTCTGTTAAAACATCCATAGTGCAATCTTCTATGACATTCCCCCGGATAACTCATTTTTGCTTCCTTTCCTCAGAGGGCCAAATGTGTGCGGTTCAACAGGGCTCCAGTGCTGTCATGGGTGGACTCTCAGCGGGGGAGGCAAAATGTGCCTCATACGTAAGCTCTGACTCTCTCTCTTTCTCTCTCTCTCTCTCTCTCTCTCTCTCTCTCTCTCTCTCTCTCTCTCTCTCTCTCTCTCTCTCTGTCTCTGTCTCTTTCTCCTCTCTCTCTCCCTCTGTTATTTCTGTTTGTCAGTCATGTTTTCCTAGCACTTAGTCACCATTATTGTGTCACTGTGCTTTTCTTGACTCAAACAAACAAACAATGGCCTTTGTTCTGTACTGCAGCCACCTGCCAAGGCAAGTGTGGAGCTCTGGGCACATGTATCAAACCAGGCCTGTGTAGATGCCAGGACACGTCTCTGCGCCCAGTCTGTCCTGAACAAGCAGCAGGATTGCCAATTGATGACGTCATGAAAAAGTCACGTCCAGGTGAGGGCTTGGTCAAATTTTGCTGGAGTTTTACATTCCTTTTGATTCGATTTAAGTAGGTAAGTTTATTCAGTGTTTAAGGCCATTGGCCCACACCACACCATAAATAAAACACATTTGTTAAATAAAGTTTCCATAATGAAAAAGTACAGGTTATGCACATATCTCTTATCATGGTTCAAACATTGCAAATTTCTGTCACTGGGCGAGTCAGGCTGGGAGAAATCAACAATTTCCTTTGATGGACAAAATTTATTATTATTATTATTATTATTATTATTATTATTATTATTATTATTATTTTTATTATTATTATTATTATTATTATTATTATTATTATTATTATTATTATTATTATTATTGTTATTATTATTATAGTTATTATTATTATTATTGTTATTATTATTATTATTGTTATTATTATTAGTATTATTATTATTATTATTACTATTATTATTATTATTTTTATTATTATTACCATTATTATAGTATTATTATTATTATTATTATCATCATTATTATTATTACTTTTATTACTATTATGATTATGTGAACCGCAACCTGAAATAATCCTTACTATCGTCATTTTCCTCTACTTCTTTATTTTGTATGTTGTTCGTCAGTGTCTTGTGACCCGCTATTTCCAGAGTGCCTTGATAGTCAAAGCAGACTTTGTGCTGTTGAGGCTAGATAGGTGAGTAGAGTAAGCCTGATTCCCTGTAAAGACTTCTCTGTTGACATCCATCCCTTGGCGCTCATATAACCATATTGTTATGCAACTGCGTCGGCCGTAAAACCTGACTAAAACTAAAACTGTCCACAGGCCTATGCCAGAGCCACCGTGGCCTGTGTCACCACCACTGCACGGACACGCCAGATCAAGGATTCCAGTGCTCCTGTAGGCGTGGCTACAAGCTTATGGCCAACCACAGGTCTTGCCAGCGTTTTCGTCCTGTTGTGGACATGCGCCGCCGTGTTTGGAGGGGTATGCAGAGTGTGGCAGGACGCAGAAAGGGAGAAGCAAGGAAAAACATGAGAATGTCACACTACAGAAAGATGAAGGAACGTTTTCAAGATGGCCTGAAACATCATAAAAGTGAAATGATACCTGAGAAGGGGATATATAAAAGTACAAAGACAGAGTCTACGCCTAAGGAATTAGAAAGTTTGTACTCAGTTCTAAATATAGATGATTCTAGCTCCAAGACAAGTTCTGAGGAATCAAAACTGAGCAAGACTCAGGGGAAGCAGAAACGGCTTTCTAAAGACACCCATGTAAAAGTTTCTGAAGACTCCCATCTAAAAGATAAAGATTCAAAGACATTTTTTATGCCTCCGAATTCAAAGACTTACAGAGAAGAAAATGAGAAAGATGTGAAGTCTAAGTCGTACAAAGAAGGGAAAGATAGAGATATGTTGTCTAAGTTTGACAAAGAAGGGGAAAATGAAGATGTGATATCAAAGTCCTCAAAAGAAGAGAAAGATTATGTGAAGTCTAAGTCCCACAAAGAACAGAAAAATGAAGATGTATCGTATATGTGGTACAAGGCAGAAAAAGATGAAGATGTGGTGGGCAAGTCTTATACAGAAAAGAAAGATAAAGATGTGATATCAAAATCATATGAAGAAGAAAAAGATGCAAATATGAAGTCTAAGGCTTATGAAGAATTGAAAGATAAACATGTGAATTACAAGTTTCATAAAGGAAACAAAGATGATGTGAATTCTAAGTCCTATAAGGGAGAGAAAGACCTGAAGTCTCCGACTTATAAAGAAGAGAAAGATGAAGAAATGATGTCCAAGTCATATAAAGAAGAGAAAGATGAAGAAATGATGTCCAAGTCATATAAAGAAGAGAAAGATGAAGAAATGATGTCCAAGTCATATAAAGAAGAGAAAAAAAGAGATGTGGTATCTGAATCTTATAGAGAAGAGAAAGATGAATATATGAAGTCCAGGGCATTTATGAAAAAGACTGACAAAGATATGAGTTTCAAGTCTTATAAAGAAAAGGGAGATGAAGTGAAGTCTTACAAAGAAGAGAAAGATAAAGAAGTGATGTACAATTCTGATACGGAAGAGAAAGATGATGTTAAGTCAAAGTCTTATAGGGAAGAGAAAGATGATGTGAAGTCAAAGTCTTATAGGGAAGAGAAAGATGATGTAAAGTCAAAATTCAAAAGAGAAGAGAAAGTTGAAGATGTGACGAACAAGTCTGAAAAAGAATGGAGAGATGATATGAAGTCAAAGTCCTATAAAAAGGAGAAAGACGATGTGAAGTTAAAGTACTATAAAGTAGAGAAAGAAGAAGATATGTTGTACAAGTTTCATAAACAAGGGAAAGATGAAGATATGAAGTCCAAGTCCTACAAAGAAGAGAAAGAAGAAAATCAGAAGTACAAGCCTTATACAGAAGAAAAAGATGATTTAAAGTCAAAGTCCTATGAAGAAGAGAAAGAAGTTGTGAAGTCAAAGTCCTATAAAGAGGAGAAAGATGCAGATGGTATGTACAGTTCCTATAAAGAAGGGAACGATGATCTGAAATCAAAGTCCTTTAAAGAAAACAAGACTTATAAAGATGAAAATGTGAAATTCGAGACCTATAAAGATGAGAAAAATGAAAATGTGAAGTCCAAGTCCATTAAAGAAGATAAAGATGAAGTAAAGTCATTGACCCATAAAGAAGAAAAAGGTGAACACACCAAGTTTAACCTTTATAAGGGAGGAGAAGATACAGATGTGCTGTCAAAAGCATATGAAGAAAGAAAAACTGACGATGGAATGTCTAAGTTTCACGAAGAAGAAGAACATATAGGTGAGATGTCCAAGTCTTTCAACGGCGGCAAGGAGAAAGGTGTACCTCCGCTGAGTAGCAATAAGATGGACTCAAAGGACAACGAAGTTCAGAAAAAGAAAAAAGTTCCAAGTTATACTTTCCCACCATCTCAAAAGTTAGACGCTTCTCACAAGAAGCTGAAAAACGAATCTCCATTTCCACCAAAGCTTTTTGAGTTGGCTTCATTGAGTTTACAAAACCATGCAACCCTCAAAGTCAAAGATTTTTCCCAGAAGGAGAAAGAAGAAATTGGAAGAATCAGTAAAGAGGAAGTGGAGATAAATAAACCTGCAGGAAAGAAAATAGCAGCTCCTCCTTTAGTTCCCGGTGAGGCGGTCGAACGTCACAGTGAGAGAAGACACGCCAGTCTGGGGAAAATCAAAAGCAGTATGGACAAAAATTATGGCGCCAGTAAGTTTAAATCTGGTTTTACTAGCAAGAAGAGTGAATCCTCTGCTCATCCAGATAAGCCAGCAACTATTCAGATAGATAAAGCTAGTTACCAGTCAGCCTGGGAAAAGTACAAGGATAAAATGATGAGACGAAGGAAAATGCCGTCGAAAAGTGTCACTAAGCCTGCGTTGAAAGAGAACCCACCACCCTTTGGAATGTACAAAAGTAGCGTGCTTCAGCCAAGCTTCAAAACTGGCCCTCCTTCAAGAACGCATGTGGGAGATGGTGGTTTTGAACCCCCAATTTTGATGGCAAATCCAGAAAGTCAAAAATTGGCTGTGCCTCCAATCGAAGTTGAAAAGAAGGCACACAATTCTGCATTTGATGTTGGAAAGGACGGAAAAAGTAGTGAAATTCTTTTGAAATCTATAGAGAAGAAAGGTCAGACAGAATCGGTGACTTTGACAGAAGCCAAAGCAGTTCATCAGGAGAAGGAAAAAATGGTGAAACAATACTTTACGAAGCGTAAACCCCAGCCTGATAATAAGAAAAGTCTTCACACACCCTCGGACACCAAAAATGTTGATGCTAAAAATGAGCATAACTTTGAAAAGGGGAACCTACAAAAGTCGTTTGCCAAAGAGCCGGACACAAAGTTCTCGGTTGCCAAAGAAGATAAATACTTTAAGGAAAATTTAAAGGAAATGGCTGCCAAATTAGTGGAAGAAAAGATAGCCGGACAGGCAGACGACAAGGCTGCCATGTGGGCAAAGGAAAAAAGTTCTATATCAGACCATAGAACGACCTCTGATAAAAGAGCTCCTAACAAGGATCTTCCAGTCGCTTTCAAAGGGAGGGAAATGTTGGACGTCAAGGACATAGTAACGGGTGAATGGGATCAGGAAAAACACAAAATGATGATGAAGGAAATAAAGTACTCAGATGAACATGATGCCAAATATTTTGAAAGAAAATTTTCTGATGCCTCAAAGCAGTCATCTGAGGATAAGATGCAAGCCGATGACAGTTTTCTGCAGGGAGAAGAAAAACAGCTTCAGTCAGGCAAACATGACAGCAAAGTCAAAGAAGTTTCTCATGAAAGACACGTTGACGTGGAACCTAGGAATGCCGTTGTTAGCGACGAAAAGGGTTCAAAACCAGAAAAAGTTTCTGACGAAACGAAGTTAATCTTCGAAAAATCTGAAAAAGAGTTGTCCGCAGCATCCAATAATTTGAAAGTCTCGCAGCTTTCTCCTGAGCAAACACGACAAGATGTAGGAGCACAGAGGACATTAAGACAGCCAGAAGGCTCGGAGAATGTGCACAGAGAACCGTTGGATCAACAGAACAAATTACAACTGAGGGCTAAAATGTTGGCAAATATGAGAGCTCAGTTTTCAGATCCCAGAATGGCGTCCCTCTTGACTGCTCTTCGGAAAGCCAAGTCTCAGTCGAACCCAAAATTTTCCAGCAAAGATGGTGAGAAGAAAAATGAAAAATACAACTTTGATTCAAAAAAGAAACCTAGCCAAGATCGGAGTGCCAATGGTAAAGATCTGGATTCCTCCCTTGCAGCTAAGACAAGTACCGCACTTTTCGCCAAGCCAATGGAAGAAAGCAAGAAAGAACCCAAGAAGGACCATGGTATTTATGATCAGTCAAAACTGCACCCTTCAAAATTTGATACTGATGAAAAAGTTGAACTTCTATTTGAACGCAAATCGAGAAAAGAAATCCACCCTGCTGTTGGTCCTGAACTCTCCACCATGCAAACAGTGGCTCCAACAGAGGTGCCCCCTGCAGTCCCTAGTGCAACTGTTCCGCACAAAAAAGGTTCTGTTGATAAAGAAACTCTTCAAAATAATTCAAACTTTCCTTTGTCTGAAGGAGTGTCTTCAGTGTCTTATTTAGAACCAACATCTTTCACCATGACCCCAAAAATCTCAAAGGACACAAACCATGATGGGGTTGTGGAGACGGAGAAAACAGTGTTGGCTCCATTAAATGTTAAAGGCGTTGACAACAGTGGTGTTAAAAATCCTAGTGCTAAACAGAAGCAGTATGATCAAGTACAGAAGAAGATTGTTGGAGGAAGTTTCCGTGCCCCCGTATTGTCGCCAAGTGAAGGAAGACTTCCAGGCCTAGTTAAAGAGAGTTCCGGAATCTCTAACATACCCCAGCGACCAACTACTAATCAGCTGATCACACCGCAGAAAAAGCAAACAGAAGGGACTGGCTTGGAAAACCACTCCTCAAAAGATGCAGCCAAAAACAAGAAACAAAGGAAGACTTTGTATGATATTTCAGTAAAGATGGACCATTCTGGACCAGTAGACATTTATGACAGATCTGTGGATAACGGTCGGCATTTAGAGGGGGAAACTCACGGAATGGGGACCAGCAAATACAACAATCGGAATGATGCAGACACATTGAGAAAAGTAGAACCCCCACAATGGAGTGTTGGCCAAGAAGGAGCTGCTCTGAAGGAAGACCGTCTGTCTGTGGGCGAGGAACGGGAGACCTATTCTAATTCCAAGAAAGGAGGACAGCACCTGAGGTCGAAAGATTTTTACGAGGAAAACGCTTTACCACAAACTGGCTTGAAGACTAGACGTGGGGGTTTTGAGATTCAAATTGAGAGAAAGCTGGAGATTGTGAAGGACCCTGAGTCCATAGTTCCGGAAGACGAAGTTCCAGTGAAGAAAGACAAGGAAACCTCTGAAGATGAAGATGAGTCCCTAAAACATAACCTGAATAAAGAGGCTGACACAGAAGTTGTAAATAAATTGACTGAAAAGAGGGCTCTGAAAGGCAACGGGCTTCCCCATACTTTCACTCAAGATAACCTAAACAAATTAAAAAAACAGGAGGATGTGTCTCTGAAGAGCTTATTACACACAGCGCTACCCGGAGCAAAGAATAAGCTCGAAGATGCCAAGATACAAAACGTGGTAAAAGACCCTTACAAGCATTTAATATTGTCTCCCAATAAAAGAGTTCAGAAGAACAAAGGGAGCAGGGTTCATCGTCGCATGAAACCTACACCATTCCCTCTTTTCACAAAAGGACCAAAATCTTTCAACTTCGGAGGAAGCGATAGTGAGCGAATTGTCCACAAGCAACCGCACTTTTTGCCAACGGTTCTGGGTGCGAAGCAGGAAAGTTTCGGTTTTTGGGAGGAGGAGATCAAACAGGACATCCGGGAAGACGAGCGGTCAGATGTATTGTCAGATGGAGACACTGAGGGGGCTCCGGGTTTGGCAGGAGACGGGAATAGATCTCGCGACTGCAGGGATGACCATTGCGTGGATCCTGGTGACGACCCAAGCACCTTGTCTGCACCAGATGGTCCACGGTACAATCGAGGTGAGACAAAATGTTTATAAAGTTTCTACTCTAAGGTATCGAATAAGCAGCCCCCCCCCCTCCCTCGTTTATTGATTTTCATTGTTTTTTTTAGCACCCCC